ATTACATTTTTTTTTTTCTATTGTTGTGATTTAACTTTCGAATTCACTTTTTCGCGCTGCTGGCGTCTGTGTGTGTGTGTGTGTGTATCGGTGTGCATGATTTGGTCACTTCTCCTGCTGAGACCAGTCAGGGAGACAAATGCGTGCACCGAGCACACCACCGAACTTCCATGACTGCAACGCAACTACAGTGGGGAGGGGGAAGAGAGGGCAAGAGGCGGGCGTCGGGGGTGTGTGAGGGTGCCAGGTGAGGCTAACGCCAGTAACCCCGAGGTGCACGGGCCCACGTAGATGCAATGCACATACATACTTTTCCCCTGCTCCCTCCGTCGCACACGTCTGCACCACCATGTAGTTCTTTGCACGTGCATAAATATCTTTCTGCAACCTCCCCTCCCTCCCCTCTGCGGCCAGCGGCGGGGGGTGGCGGTGGTGTATTTGCTCCGCTTCGTCTGGCGCCTCCTGCGCAGCGAGCCACAAAAAAAAAAAGTCACACAAACAAACAAACAAACACACTGAAATGTTTCGCTCTTTTTTTTTTCCTTCGTTCTTTTTTGTTCTTGTTTTATGTTTCGCAGAGGAAGATGCCCCGCGAAATCAAGAACCTGAAGGAGTTCCTCGCCATCTGCTCCCGCAAGGACGCCAGGTGTGTGAAGGTGAAGCACAACCCCGCCGTGACGAAGTTCAAGGTGCGCTGCAGCCGCTACCTCTACACCCTCGTCGTCACGGACAAGAAGAAGGCGGACAAGATTGAGCGCTCCATTCACCCCTCCGTGAAGAAGATCACCGTCACGGCGCGCTCACACGCCAAGACAAACGCCGGCAGCAAGTAGTTTTGCGCGCGACCACGCGGCCAGAGGAAGAAAACGGGGCGCGGCAGCGAACGGAGCCCCAGTGCCGCCCCTCTCGTTCGTGCTCTCTCTGTGTGTGCGTGCGTGGGCGACACATGACGGACGTCCGTCAGCTCTCTTGACGTGTGAGGGCCAATGTTCCTCGCTTGCCCTTATTTGTTTTTGATCTTTTTTTTCTTTCCTTGAACGACCACCAAAAAAAAAACGGGGCCTCTTTTCCCCTCCGTGTGGCCCTCACTCTTACTGCGGTTAGAACAGCATTGCTTTACTGTTCCCTTGCCGCCCGTCGCGCTGCTGCGACCACTGCCGCTCTTCTCTCTGCGCATTCATCCCCAAGGAAGCGGAGTTGCCATCACCTCCGCATACCACCACAACAGGCAACAAGGGAAGTCTTTTCCAGCAAAAAGGTGCACAATTCTCAATTGCCAGATGGCGGAACCGCGTCTCCAGTCCCCACGAACCCTCGGCACTAAGCACGCTGTTACGCTCGTTGACTCGCCCCAGCACTCTGCCGGTGAACGTGTGGGGCACCCACTTGCCGTTGTGGTCTTCCTGTTGCCTTTGCGTGGGGCCGTGTCTGTCTGCCAATTTTTTTTTGTATTTATTTTCCCCTCTGGCTGGTGGTGAGTGTTTAGCTGCAGCTCAAGCCATCAACGACTACTACAAGGAAAAAAAATAATAATTAAGGAGATAAAATCAAGTGAAACAATGCCTGCAACGCAAACTACGGCGCACGCTGCCAATGAGGCTAGGCGCGCGAGTAATGCACCGGAGGGGGGTTGCCCGGTGAGGCCGGGGCCCTTTTCCGTCAAGCGTTTTCCCAATGTGGTTCCGCGAGAAGAGGCGCGTCGAACACGTTTCTCCCTGGAGACCACGGTGCACGAGGTACTGCTTGAGCATCATGGCTCTCTCAAAGAATGGAAGCTGAACGAATTCCTTTTTTACGTGGGCGGCAGTGGCACTCTGGAGGTCCATGAGGACGCCTCTGTGGAGGAGTTTGTTGCGAACCCAGAGGGGTTTATCCACGACGAGGAGCTGTTGAGAAGAGTAGGGGGAAATGTGGTGTTCCAGTACTTCAAAGGTGAGTACATTCTTCGTCAGGAAGGGGTGCACACCCTCAAGCAGTGGATAGCCTTTGAGAACAAGGACGTGGTCCCTCCTGGCGCACAGAAGATGCTCAATGTGGCCTGGGAAAATTTGCGGGAAGTAGTCGTGATGACTGGGCCGCACGTAATTGGGGGCTTCTACGGGGCGGTGTACAATGCGCGGTGGAGTCACGTGGTGGAGGCTCCTGGCGGCGGAGGGATGGAGATGGAAGTTAAGGAGGGCAGGCCGGCACAGTGGTGGGAGTTCGAGGTGGACGGCGCTACCGTGCGGCTGGACGACGCCGTGGAGCAATTCTGTGCCCCACGCCCACGGCTGATGGTGCTTACCTCGAGCAGGGGATGGCCCTTCTCGTGGTTCAGATCCGATTTTCTTCCCGACTGCTATGTTAACTCCGAAGTGGAGCGGGTGTGGCAGATCGTGAAGGGCGATCTAACCGACTGGCTGGTCACGCACGGTGGGGATTGTTTTGAACCGGTGGCACGCGCCTTGATTGGAACGCCGGGAATCGGGATGTCGGCGAACGCCGGCTCCTACCTCCTCTACCAGTTGTTGCACTACGACGCCAGGCTGCTCCCGGTGGTTGTCTACTTTGTTGCGGAGCGGATATTCATATTTGAAAAGGCCACCAACGCTGTGGTGCGCTTTGAAAACCTTTTCCAGGCCCAGGACGTCGTGACGGAGCTGGCTGCGAGCATGCGTGGGTACATTATCTACGACGTGGCCAGCAGGGGAGGCGCGCCGGCGAAAAAGTTGCCTCCGACCGGGTGGGGCATGACTTTGTTGACGTCCCCACAAGGCGTCAACTTCACGGAGTGGGAGGCAGAGATGAATGCCAAGCGAATCATCATGAACTGTCCTGACGAGAGCGATGTGAGGGCGATGTGTGCTTGGCAGAAGCGTGAGGAGCCTGCGCAGGAGCAGGCGGAGTACTGGAACAAAATCTGGAGCTGCATTGAGTGCCTGGGACCGGTTCCGCTGCGCCTCTTCAATGAGAAGAACCACGGCATGTACTTTGACATGATGGACACGGGTGTGGAGGAAATCCTTCCCTTCATGGGAGGGTACTACGTTGGGCCGGACAACGGCATCCTGTGGAACAGGAGCAGCTCATTCCAGCGGCTGTCGAAGGTTGTGCGGGTGTTGGGGGATACCGGGGCGGAGAGCTTTTTCAATGCGCCGATTTCTTCCGTGGCCAGAGGCCAAATATTTGCGCTGTTGGGGAGGATTATGAAGTGGCCCATTGGCTTAAGGATGGCGCTGATCCCGAGCTACATTCTGTCGCCAAAGGCGCTGGAGGAGTACGGCGCGCTGATATTTATGTATGGGAAGTTTGTGCAGAGGATGCACGACAGGCTGTCTGAGCTGCGACCCCCGAGAGGGGGACGTGAGCCACGCCCCTGCGTGCTGCAGGTGGACCCGCAGCTGTTCCCTATTGACTCGGCGGCGTTGCTGCCGAAGTTGTTTCATCCCGCGAAGATTGATGCAAGGTACCGGGTGCTGTACGTACCGGGCATAAGGGACTTTCCGCTTTTGGACGGCTTCTTCTTCGTTGAGGCGCCGCGGAAGACGCTGATTGGGCTGCAGACGACCACCGCGAAGGCACACCACATCGCAACCGACGCCCTGCGGCGGTTCAACGAGCAGCTGGCGGAGAGATTTAGCGACTGGGAAACGTTTGCGGTGGACTTGTCGTGGGAGATTATTTACGTGAAGCATGTGGAGAGCCAGACGGTGTACACGTGGCAGCGGTGTGGCGCCAGCGACGACCACAATGTGCTTCAGCGGGAGGAAGAGGATGGGGAGGAGAGAGTCGCGGATTCGTGGGACGAAAAGGTGCGTCAGTACTTGCTCGAGGTGTCGGAGGGGGACCTGATCGCGGCGTGTGGGAAGGAGGAGCCCTCGATCGTCCCCGGGAACACGAGGTTGAACTTCCTGTGACTCGACCCTTCGCTGTGGACCGGCGCACCCGCCCGGAGTTGAGGTGGCGGGCGGCGCTGGATGCACCGCCACGGGGGGTTTCTCCGGCGGCCGCGCACCGCAGACACCTGCTGCGCGCTGTGTGTCGTTGCGCCGCTGCCGCTGTCCGCACTTGCCGCCGGGTATCGCTTAGAACAGATGGTGGTGGTGGAAGCCCCACCGCGGAAGTTTTTTTTTTTTTGGGGGGGGGGAGGGGGAGAGGTATTTTTGCTTTTGCGCCACGCGCTGCACTCCTGCTGCACTCTGCTGAGGGAAATGGCTGGCGCTGGGGCGAGTTGTGGGGGGAGGGGCTGCGACGGGAGTTCCCGCGGGCATGCGCGCTGCATGTCGCCGCCGGAGGGGTTAATGGGGGGCGGGCGGAGCGGGGGAAGACAGGGAGGGACGTGTTTATGCACTTGTTTATGCACATAAATATATAAATATATGTTT